TAAACAGTTAAATTGAGGCTTAGCTGTTCTCAACAATATGGTGATTATGTTCAGCTTTTGAAAATGGACATTTCCAATGTATAAATGTAAAATTGCAGCTTATAGCTGTTGTCATTTTTTTTAATGTGTTAAAATTGACATTGCATGGTGTGAAATAAAAGTTTAAACACTGGTCTATTTCAGGTGTACTTGTGTTTATGTACTCCTGACAGAGATTTGTATTAAAAATTAACGTGAAATAAGTATTGTTAAAGCAATAGTCCTTCTTAGGTTGTTGAATGAATATGACATATGCAGTTTGATTCTGTTAATTGATTTTAAGGTATTTTACTTCCTGCATTGATGTACCTAACCTTTTAAATAAAGGGACCACAACTTGGATCTTTTTTAGATTTTAAATATACTTGCTATCATATCTTACCTACTGGTGTGCCTTTTTTTGAGGGGGACACAAAAAAAGTGCATGGAGACCCATTTATAATTGGGTGGAGCTATGAAGAGAGCAATGGCTTACCCAAAGTGCTCTTCTGAGGTCCCAAGACCTTCACCTCCATGTGTGGTCTTGAGTCAGTTTTTAATGGAATGCCTACCCTCTTCCAATCATTTGTAGCTTTCTGTGTTATTACAAAAGGCAGAATTTTATTTTCTTATGTTTTAAATAGATCATTTGGCTAGTTCCTTGGTGTTTTGGAAATGTTGGGCTTTACTTTCCTGTCATCAGTCTCTACTACCTCAGAATCTGTAGCCTGGTTCTTTCAACAGAACTTGGATTTTTTTCCTTGCAGTTGAGATATATTGCACATTTAAAAAATAGCTTTGTACCATGTTCCTTGCTTCTGGTTACTTAATACTATGTTACTTCACTATCTGTTTTTGATGAATTTTGTAAAATAAAAGTAACATGCACCATAACAATTTTTAGAATTCTTGTACAGCTAGATGTTCCTTCATCCATTCTAGCACTGTCGAAAGTAGGGAGGGTAGTTAAAGGGTGAGAAAACTAGTTGGCCATGTAATTTAGGACTGTAAGCAACATTTCCCCACAACTAAGATGCAAATTGAAAACATATGGAAATATTAAATGGATAGTAAATAAAACAAAGCGCGTCCCTGGAGATTGAGATACATCTCCTTAAGACATGGGAGAATGTCATCCCCCTGCTTCTTCGTTACAAAAATTGACGTTTATGAGGAGTGTATGCCAATGTTGAATATATGCCATCAACCCTTTTAACCTTTTTTAAAAATCATTGTCCCAGGTTAGTTAGCCAGCCCAGTTTTTACTGAAAAGAAGTGAATTGTAAAGAAATGAAAAAAATCTCACTTCCTGGAGAGTTAGAAATTAGGTGCCCTGCATAGGTACATTCAAGAATAAAATTTCTGGGGAAGAGTTTTATGGTAGCAGATTAGGATTTATTCCTCTGTGATGATGGGAGTATCATCATTACTTTAATAAGAACTGCTCAGCCAAGTATCAGAGAAAAGTTTACTTGTCCTAAGAATTTATTAATTCAAAATTAATTTACATTTTCCAAATTGATTAGAAAAATAAAGGGAATGGTGGTTTCACTATTACCTGGAGTGCTCTCTAACATGGCTTCTTTGTCTTAATTAGTATTTCATGATATGGTGGTATAGAGAGAATTTTTTTTTTAAATGATTGATGGCCTTTGTGGAAATCCTAGAATAAATTCTGAAGTATCAACTGTCACTAAATTTAAAGGAAGTAAGAAACGTTTGAATTGGCTTTTCTGTGAGATTTTAAAAGCTTTTAAAGCTATGCTCGATGGACTTTAATCTTGACTAATAAATAAATGTCATGTTGCATTCTGATAGTAAATTTTTTTAACAGACTGGCAAAGAATGATTATCTGTAGTATTCTGTTCCTCTCCCATTCTGATTCTCCCTGTACTTGTTCTAAAGTAAAAATAACTTCAGGCATTGTACCAAAGGCTGTTTGTCACATATTTTTGGAAGGAGTTTTAAAGACTGCTCCAACTTAAAGAAAAAATGAACTGTATAGAAACACACAGCATTATATCAAATTCTTTGTAACAGTGATCATTTTTATGTTGTCCTCATTAAAACCTTTTAAATGGAATAGAAACTCACCATTTTGTATACTTATTTATAAATGATCTTTTTAGCAGAAGTAGTAAGTGGTTCCCATCATATTTATGTGTCAGCTCCTAACAATTTAAAATACGTACTGTAATGCAGCAGGAAGAAATTTTGGAGTCAGAAGACCTGAGTTTTAACCCCAGTTTTGCTACTTTCCTGCATTTTTCTGGACCTCAGTTTCCTTATTGATATAATGAAGAAGTTAGACTAGATACTTCTTCTAGCCCTAAATTTATGTTTTTTTAATCCAGTCTCCAAGCCAAGAGAAATCTAGGCTTACATGGTCTGTTTTACGCAAGAGATTTGTGAGATTGAAATAATAAATAGCCCAAGCTCATCAGAACATACCCTTTAATTGTCTTAGAACCTGGGATGAGAGGTAATAAAAGTAAAGTCAAATAGCACATTTAGAGAATAAAGTAGTGACCACAGCCCTCCTAACATTATAATAGTTGGCTACACTGTCATAGACTCCCAGTTAAGCAGAACAGACTTGATAAGTTGCAGAAAATTTTTATGAGTAGAATTCAACACAGTAAAAAGCTTTATGGAGTAAATACAGCCTTAACTGAGTTGTGACTTGTCATCAAAATGCATTAATTGGAATCTCAAAGGAAGTGGCCCACACCAACACTGGATTTTCAGAAAGAAGTGAGGTATGGCAGTGTGGTGAAGTGGAAAGGCTAGAAGTCAAGAAACCTAGATTTTAGTCACATCATGTGACCGGGGAAATTAAAAATTTATTAATTGCCTTTTATGTGCAAGATAATGTTACAGGTCAATGACAGATGAAAAATTAAATAATCTGTATTACTGAGAAATTTGCATTCTTTTGAAGGGAATACAAGGTAAGTATAGTACAAGGTAGGGTGTGATGGGAGTACAAGTAGAGATTCAAAGTATTGTAAGAAAATTTGGAGTGAAGACTTCACTGTATACCTTGGATTGTATCATGGAAGGATGAATGGGGCTTGAAAGAAGAGAAAGCTTCAGCAGGCATTGGGAATGGCCTGTGCAAATGCATGGAGGCAGGAAAGTTTAGGATAGTATGATAATATAATAAAACAATTATAACATAGTAATAATTGACATTTAATAATTTCTAATATAAAATATACCATATTATATAATTAATATTAAATCATATCATGATTATATTAAATATAATAAAAAGGAAGAGATGTTAGTCCATTTTGGTTGGAATGGCAGATGCTGTGAAAGACAGTAGGCTGATATAAAACTGGAAAATTAAGTTGGAGCCAAAAATTGAAAGGCCTTAAATTCTGGGTTTAGGAATTGCCTAGGCTAAAGGCAATAAAGGAATTCCTAAAGGTAGGATTGACCTGTCTTTAACAAAAACCTTGAGGACAGCTTGGAGAGAGGAAAAGACAGGTGAGCGGTTAGGAGCCTATGGGAGAAGGAAATGGCAAACCATTCCTATATCTTTTTGGGTTAAGAAAACCCAAAATGGGGTCTTGTAGAGTTGGACACAACTGGAAAAAAAAAAGATTGAACTGAAAACAGACAAGAGATAATGAGGGTTTGAACTCATGATAGTGTGAGTGGAAAGGAAAGTAGGGCATGTATCTAAGATTTTGTGGAGGTTGAATGAGAGAAAAGGAGAGTCAAAGGTGAAAAGCCTAAGGTTTTGAAAATGTGTGATTAAGAGGAGGCATTAATAAAAACATTGTTTAGGAAAAGCAGATTTAGGTGTCTTAGACTGAGGAAGCTGAAAATGTGGGCCTGGAATTCAAGGGGCGGGGAGAAACCTTTTAAAACACTTCACCTAATTTCTAGGAGAGGGGTGTCATTCCTACAGGAAAGCTTTCTTTGTCCCACTTTCCCTTCTCCCTACCCCCCTAAAAATAATATATTCTTCTGAACAGTCTCCCGGAAACTTAAGCCTTCTCTAGACTTTAGGTGCAACCGCATGCAAATTAAGTCGTTTTCATTCCTGTCCTATTATTGTTCTTTTATTTTTTTGCTTTTTGGTGAGACCATCAGAGTTAAGTGACTTGCCCAGGGTCACACTGCTAGTAAGTTTCAAGTGTCTGAGGTCATATTTGAACTCCGGTTCTCCTGACTCCAGGGTCAGTGCCCTATCCACTGTCCCACCTAGCTGCCCCCATATTGTTCTTTTCAACCTTTAAAAAGAAATATGAAATCTACCTAAATGCATACAGACCTCTGAAAGATGGAACTTGCTAAATGCCATATTTTAAAAGTGTTACATTATTAACATTGCCAGAACTGACATCTCCAATGTCCCAAAATGTAATTACAGTTTAATCAACTTGATCACATTTACTTATAAGTGAATTATATAAAGAATGAGGTATTAATACAAAATATGTCTAAAAAATTTTAAAGTAACTGCTATTACAAAATTAAAAGTAATATTTATATTCGTGTCTTATTATTCACATCAGTTACATATTTTATATTTACATTATTTATATCATCTTCCCGTTTTTATTTAAAGACTTCCATTATCTGGTCATTCAGTCCTGAAAGACGGCTGTGCCCGTAACCTTCCCTTTCTTTACCTAATCAATCGTTCCTTTATCTTTATTGGCCGGCACCTTGTTGGGGGTCTAGTTTTTGTGCTTTTGTTTCCCGGAGAGATGAGGCCGCGTCATTGATGCCTTCGAAACCTTAGCATCTAGCTCTGGATGGGGCACATAGTAGGGGCTTAATACCTTCAGGGTGACTTGGGAGAAGATGATGGCAGGCTCAAGAAACCCTGCGCGGCACAAGGCCGAGTGCCACGCTGGGGAGGAGGGGGTGGTCCCAAGAGCGCATGCGTCAGGGACGTACTTCCGGCCTCGCGAGATCCCGCCCCCCTCGGCTCCAGGTTTGAACGCTGTTTCCCCTGGAGACGGAGAGACAACGGCGGGCGAGACCGGAGAAGCAGAGACGAGCTATGGATCCCAAAATCGTCAAGCCTCCGGGTCAGGACGAGGTCTTGGAACGACTCAAGAACCGTTACGGAATCTGTAGCAATGTCCAGTGTGAGGTAAACCCTCCCCCGGCCAGAGGGCAAGGCGACTGTCTCTTCTCCCTCCTGTATCCCAGTCGGTTTCCTGGGTCCCGCTCGGCTCCCGGAGCCGCCTGCCTTTCGCCCCGCTTCGCTTCCATTCCCCGCCAGGTAAAGTAATCGCGTGCCCCTTCCCGCTCTTCTCCCGCATCTGCGAGCCCAGTACCCCGCTCCACCCACTGCGGCTTAAGTGTTCTGAGGCAAGTCTGTGTCAGCGCTGGGCTGGGGCGCCTGGGGGCGGGGAGGGGCGGGGATGGGGAAGGGAGGGGGAGGGGGAAAGAGTGAACAGCGGTGCTGTGCAGCTATGTGAGCCTGGCTTATCATCCCTAGTCTTAGTATGGAAATAACCAGAGCTTGCATTTATATAGAGCTCTAAAATTTGCAGTGTGCATTTACATTTGTCATCTCGTTCAGCCTTCACAACAACCCTGTGCGGTAGGTATTCTGTATAGCCCCATTTTACAGTCGAGGCAACAAACATTTATTAAGCTCCTATTGTGTACCAGGCGCAGTGCTTTTAAGGAAGCACTGGGGATGTACAGATACACACACACATTCACACTCACACTCACAGTAAAGTTACCTACCATTAAATAAGCCTGTACCATTGGGCCAGGGACTGTTCTTTATGCACTCGGGCTAGACAGTCGAGTTACTGAACATTAACCTCTTACTATGAGCCACGAACTGTGTCTTCCAATAAGCGCTGGAGATAGACAAGTCAAGTTGCCAAGCATTTATGTTATGAGCCAGACAGTGCCTGGGGATACAAGGGCAAAAGACAGAAGCAACTTCTCACAGACATAGAGGGAAAGCGCGGGCTAGCATTAATTGAAGGGGAGGGATGGAGATGCAGTTTTAGCTGGGACTGGAAGGAAACCCAGAGGTGGATATTAGGAGGAGGGAGAAAGTTCCAGTCATGGGAGCAGCTAGTGGAAATGCCAGTCAGGAGATGGAGTGTCGGGAAGGAGGAACAGCAAGGATGAGTTTGGAGGGAGAGTAAGGTGTAGGAAGACTGGAGATGGCAGGTTACAAAGGATTTTAAATGCCAAACAGGATTTTATTGTCAGTGAACTTCCAGAGTACTGGAAGTGATGGAGAGCCACCGAAGTTGATTTAATGAGGGGAGGGGAGTGTCAGGGCCAGACTTCTGAATAGGAAAGTTAGGAAGAGGGGAGGGAGAATTTGGGAGGAATATATGACTTCTGTTTAGGCATGTCAAGTTTAAGATGAGAGCACCCAGGCAGAGTCCCACAGCTCTGGGTAGAATTAGAAATCAGGTCTTCTTAATTTTTAAGTCAAGTGCTTTACCCACTATGCTTGCCTAGCTGCCTATTTTGAGCCCGCCTCCCAATGAGCCACCTTATTTTACTTTTTATTTTTAAAATTATATATTTTTTCAATTATCAAGAATTTATTTTCTCGCATCTTACCCCAATAGAAAAAAAGGGGAAAAAAAGCCTTGTAATTCAAATATGTAATAGTCAAGCATAGCAAATTTCTACAATGGTTATGTCCAAAAATGTACGTTTTATTCTACATCTACGTTCTACCTTTCAAACCTATAATACCTCTCATACTTATTAAGCGGGGTGACGTCCTGCATGTTCCTTAACCTTGGAGCTGGAGGGGCATTATGGTATAATGGATAGGGCAGTGGACTAAAAAGTTAGGAAAAGCTGGGTTTGTGTTCCTCACCAGCTATGTTAATTCTCAAGTCATTCTGTCTTCTCTTTGCTTCAGTTTCCTCAAATGTAAGATATGGGGAGCTGAGACTCAATAACTTATATGGTGCCACACAGCTAATAAATATCAGAGCTAGTACTTAAACACAGGATTTATGTTTCTAAATACAGTACTGCTTTCACTATCTCACAGCTGCTTCCCTTGAAAGCAGTTGCCAGCAGTGGTAAGAGTTGAGTGTAAGGCTAACTTGCATTAACCCTGCTTTGCTTCTTAGATGAAGACCTTTCCTAAATCTCTTAATCCCTCTGAGCCTCAGTTTTCATATCTTTTAAAAAGGAGAAATGATAAAACACAAGAAATATTTATCAACCATCTCCAAAGTTTAGATAAAACAAGCCTTCAAGGAATCTACAATCTAATAAATAAATCTAATAAATTGTGTTTTATACACAATATTATATGTGGAAGGGGTTACAAATAACGTGCTGAATCCTGGGGAGGAAAGCCATTAATGACCTGATAGATCAGGGTACAAAGCATTGTAGACATTATTAGGGACATCTATAAGCAATATCTTCTCTGTCTACCTCAGGATATAAGGATCATAAGAGATAAGTATGGAACCAAATTCAATCGGTCTAATTTTCCTTGTGGTTGATTGTCCTAAAAATTTTTCCTTACCTACAAAACTTTTCAAAAAATGTATTTGTATTAAAAATGAGTTGTTATAAAAACCTTGTAAAAGTTGATTTTATATTTTAACACACTGAAAACGAGTGTTTTTAAGATAAGCTTTTAAGTATTAAATATAAGTTAAATATGTTATTTCTTTTAGTTTGTTGGTTTGGATAATCAGGTCAGATGTAAAAGCAGAAGATCTCTTACCTACACAGGTAGGAAGATTAAGTTTATTGTTCGTTTTGGTGTTCATAATAAAATTCAATTTGAGAAGACAGTACTAGAAAATTAGTATACTGTGCCTGTAGAAAGTTTTGTTCATGGAGGTATAAATAACAAATACTGTGATTTTTTGATTATTTTAATAATCTAATAGCTGTTTGATAAATGACTTTACAAACCTGTAAATCAAAAGTATGATTCTGATTCAGTCATTTTTTAAATATGTTTATTGCTACCTTCCCCTCCCTTCCTCATTAAAGCTTCTTTATGTTGGGTTAAAAAAAAAGACCAAAAGGGTATATTTGGTGGCATATACAGTAATGTATTAACTAAATGTTGTTGTAATATACTTCTAAAAGTACATAATTAAACTATAGAAAGTACTTTATGTAGCAGAATCTAGCTCAGGTTCCAGGTTGACATTTAATTTGGTTTATATCTTGGTAAAGGTCACCATAGCTACTTATTTATGAATTGCTAGTTATTGTATTAGCATGGCTTTGGTACTAAAATGTCTCCCCTTCTCCCACTGCTCCAAGAAAAAAAAATCATATAAAAATTTCTTTTTAGAATTTTAGTCATTACTTCCTAAATTTAATCATTGACTATTTGAATTATTAACTTTATCGGGTTCAGTGTTTTTATATAATAACTTTTTTTTTCAATTCACCAATTAACATAAATCAATCTCTTTATATTTACTTTTATAGATAATAATTCTTAATTATGATTATAGATTTTAGAATTAAAATTAGTCCAACTTAAGAGAACACTTCCTGAAATATATTTGATATGTGAACAGATGTTCAGGATCTTAAATTAAAATTGTATTTGTTTGACACTTCCAATCTTATGAAATAGAACTATTTCTCGTTGAATTTCTGAGAAGATAGAGAGGACTTGTATTCTTTAAAAAAAAATCTTAATTTTATGTTAAAAATTTATAATTTGTTTTCCTATATAACCCTCCCCTTTGTCTTGTTGAATTCAAATAAACATGGCCCAAGATTTTGTTCGTTAAATATTTATTGATAACTTATTACATATATTATTTATTGAGAACTCATTACATGTATTATCATATAAGAAATGACTGTACTGAGGAGATGTTAAAAAATCAGATATTGCTTTATGGGATTTATAGTTTAGTTATGGAGACAAGATGTTACATACTCAAAGTAGTTAATTTAGTCTTAAATTGTAGGGACAATGTTCTATGAAAAAGTCAATATCTCAATCTGTACTTTGTGTGTTTTTTTTTATTTGCTGATAGATGTATTGGATAACTTATCATCAGATCCAGTTATGCCTCTTCCCACTGACTCAGCAGCAACATTTTCTCACAATACAGAAATAAATTCTTCGAAACCCCTTTGTGACCTGTTCAAGAAGAATGTGAATTGGTATGGTATCCCTGTATCCTCAATACTGTTGGCCCTTCAGTATTTCATACACATACTAAAAACTAGATTTTGAATTGGCTTTTTTTCCCTGAGAGATTTGAACCTAGTAACTTGAGTGTTGTTAGCTTCAGTAATATTTTACAATTGAAGAGATAGCTAGATAAGGCATTTATTAAATAACTACTGAAAATATAAATAAAAATCAGCAATACAGGGTCTCCTGTCATGGAGCTTGCCTTCTAATAGTAGAAATAATTACATAAAGGGAAGCTGGAAGGGAAAATTATTGGCGCTGGTGGCCTGGAAGTGAAGTGGAGACTTGTTGCTAGAAAAATAGGTAAAAGCTCAGCTGTTTCAGTCCAGGGTGTTTCCTTGTAGACTGTGAGCTTCTTGGGAGTAGGTTTTTTGTTTGTTTGTTTTTTTCCACCTTTCTTTATATCCCCAGTATTATATAGTGATGGGCACATTAGTAGGTATTAAATAAATGCTGGTTGACTGAACCCAAGGATCTGGTGGGGAGGGGTGGGGGGTGATGGCTGGAGTCCATGTGGTATGGTTTGTAGCTGGTGGGTAGGAAGGAAGGTAGACACCTGTTTGAAAGGAACCCCTTTATTTTTACTTAGAAATAGCCAAGATTGGAACATAGACATATTAGATTTAATGTTATATTAATGTGTTTAGCTATCCTATTAACCATCCTAAAATATATGAATAACATTTTTATATTTGTTCTTTCAATTTGAATAATTCAAGACTCAAATTGAGATCTGTTTGTTTCAATTTGAATCCATGTTTCTTGGACAATGAGATATTTTAAATTAACATAATAATAATAGCATTTTTATAGTAGTTTAGAGTTTGTAAAGTGTTGTGTCCCCATTGTATGTAGTGTGGTGTAAGACACGGAAGAATGGTGTAACTTGTTCTGTCCCTTGAGGAGCTTAGATTAAGTCCTTTAAAAATTTAAAAAACAATTTTTTTGAGTTTATAGTTTTGTTAAAGAGACAAGACTTAACACATAAAAAGCCATTACAGAACAATCCAGGACAGTGTATTATGCTAATTTAAACATGGGAAATGACCAAATATATATGGTACAGATAATGTGTCTGTATATATGGCAGCCAAGGAAGGAAGAAGGTTAGAAATAAAGTAAGACTAAAGCTGTATAAGAGAAGCACCAAGTTTCCTTACCTGGGAATTGCAGTTGGTTATAGCAGTGATTCCATTGGTCACAGGTCCAGGGCCTATCCCTGTCTTAAAGCAGTATACACATGTAGACTATAAAAGAATAATTCTCCAGAGAGTTCAAGCAGGAATACCCACATCTTTGTAAAATTATCAGTAATTTTCAAATGAAAGGTACATGTCTTTATTTAAATTCTCCATTTGGCACTCACAAACACTGCCAACTTTTTCTGTTGGAGCTTCAGAGTATATGCAGAAAGAAGAGAAATTGACACGAAGTTCATTATCTATCTTAATTTGAGATTTCCCCTAGTATTTCCTTACATAAAGTTCTTGAAATAATCTGGGGATGATTTATAATTTTAGCTTTATTCAAAACATGTAATGAGTGCATCTTATGTGAAGAGTACTTTGTGAGAAGATACATTTAGGTAAGGGTCAGTCTGCCTTCATGGAACTTACAGTCTAGAAAAGGGTAAGAACACAAACATGGACAACGGTAATACACAATTTTCAGTAAGTTGGTAAGCATTTACTAAGCCCATACTATGTTCACAGTACCAGGGATACAAATGCAAAGATTTGAAGCCATTCCACTGTGAAGGAGCTTGCATTCTGTTGAGGGAAACAAGTATATCCAATAAGTGTATTCAAAGTAATAAAAAAGAATAAATACCAAGTCGGGGGGGGGATTGGAAATTGGGAGGGGAGTCAGGAAAGGCTTCATGTAAAAGGTGGTGCTGGAACTGTGTTATGAAGAAAGAGTGAGTTGTGAGGCAGAGGTAAGGAGGTAGGGCATTCCATATGTGGGGGATGGCCAGTACAAAGGCATTGAGATGGAAGATAGTGTCCGGTTTGAAGAATGGAGAGGAAGCTAGTCAGATTGTCAAGTTTGGAAGGGAGATAGTATGTAATGAGGTTGGAAAGATAGATTGGGGACAGATTACAAAGGACTTTAAAGTATAAACAGAGGAGATTATATAGATTTGATTTTAGAGGCTAATAGGAAGCCTTAGGAGTTTACTGAATTGAGGAGTGACTTGGTCAGATCTGTACTTAAGGAAAATTACTTTGGCAGCTGTGTGGAGCCATGATGTCAATCTCAAATAGAAATGGGGGCACTAAACCATCCATAAAGATCCCTGTAGGCCACATAGTGACTTAGAAAACCATATATTAACATCTGTATGGTATTTTTACTTATTTGTTAGATATTTCCAAATTATGTCTTAATCTGCATCAAGTAGCATCTGGAATTTTGTGGACTGCTGCATGTTCGATATCTGATATGGAGGATTGATTGGAGAAGAAAGAAACCAAATGTAGGAGGACGTATTAGGAAGCCCATGAGAAGTGATGAGGATGTGACTTAAAGTGGTGGAAGAAGAGGTTGGATGTGAGAGCTGATTGAGAAGTAGGAAGAATAAGATTGGACAACTAATTGGCTATGTGGAGTGAGGGAGAGTGATTTTCTACAGTACTTTTTTTTACACACACTTATGTTGCCTGTTATTTGTCTATATATATTCATTCACATATATTATACGTATGTGTGAACATATGTGTGTATATATATACGCGCACACACACATATACATATACACATACCTACACACGTACATATATATATATGTGTATATATATATATATATATACACCAAGAGAGAGGTCTACACACCCACATACCCTCTGAACCTGTGATTTTACCACTGTAGAAAATTCCAAGTAACAAAATTCCCTTTTTTAATGCAGATGAGCAACTTCTATAATTTATAGTCTTAGAAGGTTAGGGCCTGGGAAGTTAAGGAATTTGCTGTGTCATGTAGTCAATGGGTCAGAAACGATACTTAAACCAGAGAAATTATACTGATTACTGCAGTTATCCTTCTGTTACTATAGTCTTCTATTATGTCATGCAGCTTCTTTACTTTATTACATATACTGTAGAATTTTCAACGTTTAATATAATTCTATTAGAATTTACAAATTAATTTTCTCATTTTTCATCTAAATAAGTTTGAATGCATGTAAAGTCTAATTCAATTAAGTACATGTAGTAAATGGTTACTTTTCTTTGACAAATACCATTAAAATTTTTCTTTACAATTCTGTAATACTAATTAATGACCCTGGTCAAATCACTTTGTCCCTATGAGCCTCAGTTTCCTTATCTGTAAAATAGGGATAATACTACTTGTTATTCTTACTCATGGCTTTGTTGTGAGGAAAGTGCTTTTTAAACTTTAAAGCTTTATATACATGTGAGCTATTACTGCATTTCAATTTTAATACTATAGAATATTTTATAGGATTTTTTGAGTTGCTATGTATAATTTTTTTCTTTAAAGTCTAGATGATGACCTGGATTATTTTTGTGATTTGAGTCCACTGGAGGTGGAAGAAGAGTTAGTTGAAGGTGATCATAGCATCAGTATTGCGCAGGGAGTTAAACCATTCACAAAAGAAACACCCCCAGGTAAATAAAAATCCTATTTCATAACAGTCACTTAATTTTAACTTAGGCAAGAATGAAGAATAAAACTTATTTCTGGAAGTGTAAAGATGGATGCTGAATTACCCTATGTATTTAAAAATGTACCTTTTTGCAAATTGTATTGATATATTTTAACTTCACCTGTATTTTTGAAGATATCCTTCTCCCCTCCCCTTTCACTACCATTATGTGGCCCTTGTAACAAAAAATAAGCAGAAAAAGAAAACCAACAAAACTAAACACATTAAGTGGATCTGATGGTACATGCAGAAGCAAGTACTTCTGTAAAGAAGGGAGAAGTGCCTTTTTATCATCTCTGCCAAGTCAAGAGTGATCATACAATGACACATCATTCAGTTTTGGTTTTTATTTTCCCCAGGTACATTTAGTCCCTGTGTGACCTTGAGCAGGTCACCTAACCTTTCTAGATTTCAGTTTCTTTGATAGTATAAGAAGAGAATTGGACTAGATGGCCTCTGAAATCTCTCCCAGCTCTAAAGCTTTTCCTAATTTAAAAAAGTTGATATCTTTTGTTTTTATATCATTTACTTTTCCCAATATATCCTTTCTTCCTCCCCTTCCTGAGTGTCCTCCATCCCTTAGAACAAAGAATAAAAAGAGAGGGTGAGGGGAACAATTTAACAAAACTAACCAAGATAACAACCAAGGCTGACCTCTATAGTATTTCCCACTTCTGAAGAAAAAATGTTGAGGAGTACATTTTCCCATATCTTAAGTATCATGCTTGATCATTATAATTTTATATAATTTAATTCTACCATACTCTGAGAGCCAGAAGGGATCTTGGAAGTTTTTAGTCCGGAACACCTTTTTTTAAGAGGTAAAGAAAATGAAACCCAGAAAATTTAAATGACTTGCCCAGGGTAATACAGTGAGTAATTGTCTTTAGTTCAAATTCAAACCCAAGTCTTCCTGACACCAAGGTCACACGCTAGCTATATTGATTGTTTTATTCTTTCCATTTCCACTATTATAGTTGTAGTTGTGTTGTTTTCCAGGTTATGCTTACTTCACTTCTTATCAGTTCAGATAAGTCTTCCCCTGTTTCTCTTTATTCATCATATCCATTGTTGCTTACAGCACAGTAATATTCAGTTACACTCATGTACTACTACTTGTTGAGCCTTTCCACTGTTAGTGGACATGTCCTTTGTTTCCAGTTCTTTACTATCTAAAAAAGGGTTCCTAAAAGTATTTTGGGACATATTTTTATCCTTGACTGCCTTTGAAGTATATGCCTAGAAGTGGGTTCTCTGGATCAAACGGTGTGGCTATTTGAGTCACTTTCGTCACATAATTCCAAATTGTTACCCAGATTAAGGAAGAACTCTACCAATAGTGCATTGCTGTGCCTCTCTTTGTCCATATCTTTGATTGTGTAATTTATCGGGTAAATAACTTTTGATCGTTACACACACACACACACACACACACACACGTTGGTTCCTTACATGTCTTGGATATCATTTTTTTTTCTTTTGGCGAGGCAGTTAGGGTTAAGTGACTTATCCAGAGTCATGTAGCTGATAAGTGTCAAGAGTCTGAGGTCGCATTTGAACTCAGGTCCTACTGATTCTAGGACTGGTGCTCTATCCACTGCACCACTTAGCTGCCCCCAATCATATGCTTTTCTGAAATGTTTGTTACAAAGATTATTTTTCCCCAGTTGACCATTTATTCTAGTTGCATTGATTTTATTGGTGTAGAAGCATTTCAACTTCACAAAATAAAATTATTTTATTTTTTGGAATCTCTTCTATAATTGATTTGGTTAAGGATTGTGAAAAATACCTGATAGCTGGGCATGGTTTTTTATTACTGTTATCCTTATTACTTAGGAACCTTAAGCTTGGTGGTTTGCTTGAGGTTGAGAGCTCTGAGCCTCAGTAGGAATAAGACCATTTGGGTTTTACCTGGGAACAGGTAACTTACCAAGCTTCCTAAAAATGGGCAAAGTAGCCCAGGTCAAAAATGGAGCAGGTTAAAGCTTTCTTGACAGTCAGTAGTGGGATTAGGCCCATGAGTGGTGGAAATGGAGGAACCTAGTGTAAAAAACAAACAAATAAAAAACATCTGATTTATTTTTCTCCTAATTTTTTAATACTATGACCGCTAATATTCAGGTCACATATGTATTTTGAGCTTATTTGTGACATATGGCTTAAAATGTTCTAAATTTCTGCCAAACTATATTACAAGTTTTTCTGTTTATTTTTATCAAATAAAGAGTTTTTCCTCTCTTTTTCTGTCTTTCACCTTACACCCTCTCACATACTCTTTGATCCAGCGATGCTAGCTTTCTTGCTGTTCCTTAAACTCCTCCCTACATAGGGCATCTTCACTGGCTGTCCCCTTGTCTGAAGTTCTCTCCCTCCTGATTGCTGTTTCTTGGCTGCTCTGACTGCCTTCAAGTCCCACCTAAAATCCTCCTTAATGTAGTGCCTTCTCTCTGTCAATTATCTCCAGTTAATCATATGTTTACCTTGTTAGAGAGTTGTTTGCATGTCTCCTCCATTAGAGGTCTTTGAGAGGCAGGGACTGCCTTTTGTTTTTCTCTGTATCCCTAGCACTTAGCACAATGCCTAGCACATAATACATGCTTCATAAATGTTTATTGATTGACTGATCTATATATACCAATGAAACCATAGGTCTAGAGGAAGGGGTAGGGAACCTGAGGCCTCAAGGCCACATGTCGCTTTCTAGGTTCTCCAGTTAGGCCTTTTAACTGAATCCAAGTTTTACAGAACAAATCCTTTTATTGAGGGGATTTGTTCTGTGAAGTTTGGCTTCAGTCAAAGGGGGGCCACACTTGAGAACCTAGAAGGCCATGTGTGACCTTGAGGCCAAAGGTTCTCCCACCCCTGGTCTAGCCCAATGGTGTCAAACTCAAATAGAAATGATAGCATATTGACTTAGAAAACCACAAACTAACATAATCTATAATGTATTATATTTTTATTTATTTTGTTAAATATTTCCCAGTTACATTTTAATCTGGACACAGTTTTGTGGACAGTGTGTTTAACCCTTCTGGTCTAGCCTATTCCTAGATGAATTTTATTATTTTACTTCATTTTACAAAATAGCCCTTTTGCTAAAATATAAATTAATTTAGTCAGTAGTATTGTCATTTTTGTTATATTATTACATCTTAACCATGAACCATGAGTTTCCAGTTACTTCTTTTATTTCTGTAAAGATTGTTTTATCATATTTATATAATTTCTTTTCTTTTCTTTTTTGGTGAGGCAATTGGGGTTAAGTGACTTGCCCAGGGTCACACAGCTAGTGAGTGTCAAGTGTCTGAGGCATATTTATATAATTTTTAAGTATGATTTGGTAGCTTTAACCTTAATTGTTTCCTAGTATTAAATCATCCTTACATTCCTACTAAAATTCTAACTGGGTCATACTTAATATTTTGGTGAATATTTTTAAAATACATTTTTATATTCTCTTTGTTAAGTCTTTATTTAAAATGTCTGCATCAATGTTGATTGGTGACATTGGTGTACATTCATCCTCTGTTTTATCCTTGTCTGAGTTAGATACCAGGACTATATTTGTCTAATAAAAGTAGCTTAGTAGAGTGTGTCTTTCTCAGTTATTGAAAAGAATTTTTTATAAAATAGATTTTTTTTTTAAAGACTCGATTGAATTCACTTGTACATTTATCAAGACCAGGGATTTTGTTTTGGTAGTTCATTTATAACTTTCTCTATTTCTCTGTCTTACATTAGGTTGTTTAAGAACTTAACTAATTTTTAGTTGGGTAATCTTCATAGTCATTTATTTTATAGTATCAGTTCTGCTTGTAGCATATAATTGTGTATATAGCTTCTGATAATTCTTCTGTCTATCCTGCCTCCCCCCTTATTAATTTATAATTTTCATTTTTGGTGGGGATTTAATTTTCCTCTTTTTAAAAACTGAATTAGCTAATGGTTTATCAGATTTGTTAGGCATTTCAAAAGACGGGCTAATTTTGTAATCAATTTTATCTCTTTTTCCTCTGATTTTTCTTTATCTTTTGTGCTTTTTGAGAGGTTTGTTAATTTGTTGATTTTTCACATTAAAAAAAAATTTTCTTTTTCATACAATTCTTCCTCAAATTGCTTTAGTTGTATCCCTGAAACTTAGGCATGTTGTGTTGTTGTCTATTCCTTTTACATAGTTATTTTTTTCTTATTATTTATTCTTTGACCCACTCACTTTTCAGTACCTCATTATTTAATCTTTATTTAGGTTTAGATTGATATCTTTTTGTTTATTTTGTTTGTTTCCTCTGTTAACTACTAGTATATTTTGTTTTGGTCTTTAAAGGATGTATTTAACATTTCTGCTTTTTTACATTTTTTAAAAATTTCTGTTCTGTAGTACATGGTCACTTTTTATAAAGATAGTGCAAAATGCTTAGAAATCTGTATGTTCTTTAATTACCATTTTGAAAATGCCGTTAAGTGTTTGAAATGTAGTTTTCCCAACAGTAAGTTCAGCTCTGTGGTTTTGTCTTTATAGTTCGGTTGCATTCATCTATTTCTGAAATAAACATTAACATTTTTTATACTGTGTTGCTCGATTTGTCTTTTTTACAGTTTTCTTTTTTATGTGAATTTTGGTGCTATTTATACTGTTTGGTGCATATATATTTACTAATTTCATTGTCTGTAATACCTTTAAGTATAATGTAATTTCCTTGTTTACCTATTTTAACATTGTGAATTTTTTTGTTTGTTGTTTTTTATCTGAAGTCATGATTGCAGCTGTTTCTTTGAATTATCTTATTCAAAGTAAATTTTGTTCCAGCTCATATTTTCATTTTTTTGTGAATCTTTATTTTTTAAAACGTGTTTTATGTATGCAGGAAGCTTAAGCTTTTGTTTTCTTATCTAATCTATAAGTACCCTTTTATTGAAGAGTTAGCACCATTACATTTAAGGTTGTAATTATTAGGTTTG